TCATTGATCCACGTGAAGCAGAGTTGATCCTACTAGGGAAGTGTCAGGCTCAAAGCTTCCCGGAGGAGACAACAGCCCTCAAAACACACAAACCTATTCCAAACCACAGCCAACTAATATGTCTTGCTCCAGAGTGGGAGCCAGTAACTAATGTAATCAGAGTTGGAGGACGATTACGGAGACCAGAAAGCCCAAATGTTGAACAGATTCACCCTATCGTGCTAGATTCGCGGCATCCAGCATCAAAGCTTCTCATTATAGACTTTGACGAACGCTTATTGCACCCAGGTAAAGAAAGAGTGTATGCAGAACTACGGAGACAATACTGGATCTTGAGGGGTCGGCAAGCTGTTAGACACCACCAGCTTAATTGTTCATCCTGTCAACGGTGGAGAGCTCGGCCTAAGGTACCACAAATGGCAGACCTGCCGCCAGAGCGGCTCAGACTTCTCCGTCCACCGTTCTACTCTACTGGAGTAGACTGCTTCGGCCCATATCATGTTAAAATAGGCAGAAGGGTTGAGAAATATTCGGGCGTAATTTTCAAATGCCTCACCACAAGAGCTGTTCACATAGAGCTTCTCAACTCCTTGGATGTGGATGCCTTCCTGCTGGCTCTTCGAAGATTCATAGCCAGACGTGGGAGACCAAAGGAGATCAGGTCAGACTGTGGCACAAACTTTCGTGGTGCTGATCGAGAACTGCTTGAAGCCTTTACTGCTATGGAATCCCAATTAAAAGAGCAACTAGCCGATTATCAGATCTTCTTCAAGTTCATTCCGCCTAATGCTCATCATTTTGGTGGTGTTTGGGAGCGAGAGGTCCGCTCCATCAAAGCTGCTCTACTGGTGGCAGTTGGAGGTCAGTCTGTCTCAGAAGATGTCCTGTCTACAGTATTAGTAGAGGTAGAGGGCATTTTAAATTCTAAACCCCTTGGATACGTCTCCACAGACGTTGCAGATCTAGACGCCATTACACCAAACATTCTCCTCATGGGGCGGCGGGATGCATCACTTCCGCAGGTGGCGTATGCTTCAGGAGAAATGGGGCGGCGCAGATGGCGCCATTGTCAAAATCTTGTGGACCAGTTTTGGACTCAATTTACAAGAAATTACTTGCCCACACTACAGAGACGCCAGAAGTGGCACAAGCCATCAGACTCTCTGACAGTAGGAGCAGTGGTTTTGATAATCGATCCACAACTTCCAAGGGCTTAGTGGCCCATTGACAAAGTTACCAAGACTGTGGTCAGCAATGATGGATGTGTGAGAACAGCAGACGTCAGTGTTCAAGGCAAAGTGTATACCAGGCCAGTAGCTTGCCTCATTACATTGCCAGCCTTTGAGGACGAAACCAAAGACTCCTAAAGAATTCCCTTAACTTGCACATTTGCTGCTCAATCAAGGGGGCGGCTGTTGTGAATTATTTACTTCTTTTTTTTGTTCATGGAAAAAATACCTTCAATGCATATCAGTGTGTATATGGTGAAACCCCTGACATAAATAAATGGTGGAAAGAAATTTGATGACTCCGACTCCCTGACCAGAGTACTGAAGTGGTTAACACCATTAAAGAACCGGCATTAGTGGGGCAGTCTCCAACAATTACATTATGTATTTTAACAGTGTTACTCAATGAAACCATATAATTATTAACTAACCAATCCAGTGTTGCCAACTTAGCAATTTTGTTGCTAGATTTAGCAACTTTTTCTTCAAAAAGCACCTAGCAACAAATTTACTTTTAAAATTTATTTGGAAACTTTTAGCAACTTTTAACTGTGACTCATGATGAAAAGGCACATTTTCCTTTGAAGTCACACAAAAAGAGGAAATCAAAAGGTATCTAGCAGTACACATCACGTGAATTAAGTTTTTAGTTTAAATTGTTCAATAATCATTGTTCATTTATGAGAACACCTTATGTTTGTACCTGCACTTGTTGATCAGTTAAAAATATGTAGAAAAATTGAAAAAGTACTGGTAATTTTCTGCCAGGACCTTATCTGTTAAGTTAAAACACAAAATACAATGCAAATCAATACAGAAAATTCCTTCAAATTAACAGTACATTGTGCTATTTTACAGACTTTTCCTAAAGTGTAGCACACTAACTAACTTCCAATACACTACTTAAAAATATAACTGTTCAGAATGTGTAGTTTTACTAGTTAATTAGGAAAAACAATTAAATGTAATTGTTCAAAAAAGTGTAAATATTCAGTAATTCAATGTTGTATTTAAAAATATTAATTTTTTTTATATTATATTGATTTTTTTGTTTTACAAACAAATCTAAATTAACATTTCAAATCATATTCATTATATTTTTTGCTGAGATTTGAGTGATCTGATTGTGTATTCTATGCAGTTGTGCATTGTGATTACATGTCATTACGCAGTGACATCACAACGTCATTTAGCAACTTTTAGCAACAAATTGTCCGGCCTTTAGAAACTTTACCTGAAAATTAGTTAGCAACACTGAACGATCATTATTGCCTCATTTTTATATAATGCATTTTACGAATTTTTAAAAGCTGTTGTTGGCTTAGGTCTGTTTTCATAACCACAAAAAACCAAAACATGATCCTAATACTTTGTAAACTACTATTTGAAGTAACAAAACCATGGTTCATTTGTGGTTACCAAGGCAAAAAAAAAAAGAAAAGATTTTTGGTTTTATTCATAGTAAAACCATGGCTAATTTTCGTAAGGGAACATGAAAACGATTTAAAAAAAAAAAAAAGAATATATAGAAAAAAAATATTAGATACGTAGTTGGTGGTTAAATTACCTACATTAAAAACACGCCATTAACGTTTTCACAGGATTATAAATGTACCTGAAAGTGATGCCTAGGCTTCATCTTTTTTCTCGTCGCCGGATTGCTGATGTGTTTTTATGGGCATAGTTGTCCATAAATTATGATCATTTGCATACAGCCGCAAACATACAGTGCGAGCGGGTGGGGGCACAGATGCGGGAATGGCGAGTCATGTGCTTAACCTACTGCATTCACCGTAAAACGCATTTTTTACTATATGTTAGTTTATAATTTTTACGTACATGTTTGTTAACATAGAACGAAAGGTTTTTTTTGAGCAACTGGGGTGGTGCCCTACGCAAACTGCGTACTCTGCATATAGGGATTACATACATTATATATTCTTGTATACATAATTAAATATTTTCTTTTATTAAACGCTATTAAGTTTGATCTTTAACTGTAGAAGCTGCTAAATATATTCAGCCAACAGACCTGCTGCTGCAGTAGTTGTTACTCTGAATTTAGTCTAAATCATTTAAATGCACAGCTCTTTATCCCCCCCCCATCTTAATTTACACTTGCGTTTGTCACTCCGGAAACATTATACGGTATAGGCCTACTAGTAAAAGCTCAAAAAGTGCAACCTTAAATGGTACTTATTAAAAATGGATGACTTCTTCATAAGATAAACTGACTGCAGCCCATGAGGCAGATGCATCGGTCACTCCTGACCATCTGAAAAACCCTCCATGAGAAAACCGGAAAGCACAAAGAGTTTGCAAAAGGTGCACAACACAGCTGCAGCAAAAACGCAAGAATTAAGGATTTTAGGGTCATTACTAGCATCAAGTCCCCATGAGCCATGACATAATGTGGTATTGTGTAAAAATGGACCAAAACGTTCCTAAATTATGGCTGTCCAGGGGTGTTTGGGTCTCAGGGAGAGGAACTTACACAAAAGCACTGATCCAGAAAGCAGTTGTGTGTGAAAACAGCCACATCAACGAGCAATACACTCGAGCGGTCATCCTCCCGACCTGCGATCTCACAATGACCTCTGCTGGAAATTGCACTGAATTGGTATGTCAAAAAAAAAACACCTCTCAATCAACTCAAATCAAGCAATTATTTTTTTTATTTTGGGAGGGGGGGGGTGAAAAGAGAAAATCTTTCGAAACCGTTTGAGCAAACATGGAACACATGCCATATGAATAAAGCACTGAATTGAAAAGATCTCGAGTAAGTGTTATGCAAAATGCCCATTTCAATGGCCACTTCCCCGACCATTTCCTTGACTACTTCCCCAACCAGGACCACTTTCCCAACCACTTCCTTGACCACTTCCCCTACCATTTCCCTGACTACTTCCCCAACCAGGACCACTTTGCCAACCACTTCCCCGACCATTTCCCTGCCCACTTCCCCTACCTGGACCACTTCCCCGACCATTTCCCTGACCTGGACCACTTCCCCGCCCACTTCCCTGACCTGGACCACCTCCCCCACCATTTCCCTGCCCACTTCCCCCACCATTTCCCTGCCCACTTCCCCCACCATTTCCCTGCCCACTTCGCTGACCATTTCCCTGCCCACTTCCCCCACCATTTCCCTGCCCACTTCCCCCACCATTTCCCTGCCCACTTCCCCCACCATTTCCCTGCCCACTTCCCCCACCATTTCCCTGCCCACTTCCCCCACCATTTCCCTGCCCACTTCGCTGACCATGTGGTTCACTGCATGCATGGCCACAGGTGGTTGGGCAACATTTCTGTGTGGCAGGACACTGGCCATCATGGAAACAGCTTTCAGCACATGCTTTGGTCTTCTGCGGTTGGGGACATTGACCCAGCTTCACTGCAAGGACACAGATAGACAGTTTTAGTCTGTGCATGACTGCATGCCACTTCAAGATACAGCACGAAACACTCAAAGCAGAAATAAAACCATTCACTCTGTAGGTAAAACTTGCTAAGTATCATTCCTCTATTTTTGTAAAGCCATCCTGGATTTAAAACTGTCCTAAGGGATGAATTCAAACCTACTTTTGACTAGAACAAAGGCAAAATGAAAATAATAATAATAATAATAATAATAATAATAATAATAATAATAATAATAATAAAACAACAACAAGACCAACATTCCTCTATTTTTGTAAAGCCATCCTGGATTTAAAACTGTCCTAAGGGATGAATTCAAACCTACTTTTGACTAGAACAAAGGCAAAATGAAAATAATAATAATAATAATAATAATAATAAAACAACAACAAGACCAAAACAATATAACAAATACCTTTATATGGAGCCGTACAGTAACGTCCACATCCATTGCTGCAGCACTTCTCATTGTTGGGACAGTTAGCGTCACGGTTACAGGACGTGGTACACGATTTTATTCCAGATGATTGGGGTGGACACTCTCCAGGCTTTGCTGTTATTCAGACACAAGACCGAAAGCATCACTGAATGCTTCATTCACTTAAATAAAAAAAATAAGTTTAATAATTTAAATCTCTTTTTAAAAAGGTGACATCATGAAAATCTGACTTTTCCAGGTTTTAAGTGCTATAATCAGGTCCCTGGTGCATCTACCAACCAAGGAAATGTGAAAAAGATTAACCCAGTAACTTTGTTTTGGGAAGCCTTTTTCTGCAAGCGTCTGAGAAAACAAGCACGTCTGATTTCGCTCCCTCAGTGACGTGGCAAAGGGATCTCATAATATCACCGCCCCTTAATCTGCACGTTTCCACACATGGCACCATCATTTTGATTTCGCAAGCGCCAACGTTTACCAGTTCTAACGCCATGGCGAAAGTTTGAGCAAAACAAGCTAACTGTTCTGCGTTTAGCTGCACAGAACACGGTTTAGAGTCCCAGCCTCAGACGAGACAACAGAGCAGTGCATTTATTGATATATTGCGGCTGCCACACAGATCTAAAACAAAGTGATTTCCCAGCGGTTTACCTTCACAGACATAACCCACTGTTTTTGTAACTCGTGTGTTTTTAAGGTAAGCTTAGTACTCACAAGTTGTGACAGCCGCTTTCTGTGCATGTGCGCTCTGAAAACCTTATATCTGAAGTTTATACTCATATGGTTTAAAACGCAAGATTTAAGTGCGATAAACATGATAACCAGAACCAAAACACATGTTTTTAGCAGGTACAAGCTGTAATGGCGCAGCTCTATTCTGGAAAAGGGGGCGGGGAGCAGCAGCTCATTTGCATTTAAAGACACAGGCCTGAAAAACAGCCCTTTTCTGCTTCCACTCAAAATAGGCATTTTCAAAATTATATAATAAATGATCTGTGGAGTATTTTGAGCTGACACACAGACACATTCTGGGGACACCAGAGACTTATATTACATATTGTAAAAAGGGCCATAATGTGTCACCTTTGAGACTCATTGAATTCAATGCGTTGCTTTTTTTTTTTTGAGGACCCCTAGGGTTCAAGAGGATCATTAGTGGAGACCAGGGAGTGCCGTTTCAGCGTTTGGAAAATCACAGGTTTTACAACACATGTCTCAAACTTTAACACATTTTTACAAATTTATCCACTTCAATCAAAAGTTAAAACCTACTACTCAACCCTAAACTATGAGAATCACTCGTTTCTGCATTTCTTCAGGCTGTGTAATGAAGTTAACATATATTCTCACCTGTGTTTTTTCCTGGAGTAGCGTCTGTAATGCTCAAGTATCCAGACAGACACAAAACAGCAATCAACGAGCAATACACTCGAGCTGTCATCCTCCCGATCGATGATCTCACAATGATCTCTGCTGGAAAATGCGCTGAATTGGTGCGTCAGGAGCAGCGGACAGTGACGCGCACAAAACTAAAACGAATAACCGTATTGCTGCAACATAAACCGCTATAAAATGGGGGTTTAAAGATCCAAGGAGCTCAGGTCAACTCCAACCCTGATCAAACTCACCTGTCTGTAGTTTGCTAGTAATCTGGAAGACCTTGATTAGCTTGTTCAGGTGTGTTTGATTGGAGTTAGATGAGATGAATGCTGCGTTCACGCCATGTCATAATAATTAAGGAAGCCTAATTACGAGAGGATTGTGCGTTTCTATGGCGACACTGTGTGCTTCTCAATTCTTATTTGTGCATCCTGGCTTCCTTTCCTCGTGTCTTAGCTCCACCCCTTAAGAAGTCAGAAAGAGCTTTATTGCCAATGAATTGCACATACAAGAGATCTGTTTTAGTGTCACAAGCTTCCAGTACACAGAGACAACACACAGATAATAAAAAAAGATGTGAATAAAATACACATGCATAAATATAAATAAACCACAAAAAAAGATTAAATTGTATGTACAGGTGAGCTACAGATAGAATAGGAATAGAATAAAATAAAATAGGCACTGTAAAACCTGGTAAGTTAAGAATACTCAAAACATTTGAGGAAACTTATTGCCTCAAAATATTTGAGTAAACAAACTCAATTTTTTTAAGTTAGTAGAGCTTAAAATTTTTATGACAAGTGGGGCGGGGCTAAGAGCCATGGGAGCCAAGCCAAGCCTCGCTTCCATGGTCCCAACCCACTCATCACAATGAAAATTATATACAACTTGCTTTCATTAACATCACATTCATTCAGATCTTTATAGTTAGGCATTAGCTAGCAACAGCACACTAGCATGTATAAATGTAGTTATCTAAAAAACTCACAATACTTACATGTAAATAGTCAAACAACATGCAGTATAAATAGTCTTTAAGTTTAGCTGTCCATCCTCAACCTAACCACAGGCTCTACTCTTCACCACAACGGTAACACTACAAAACCAACATAACAGAAGCCTATTTAAATCCTAACCTGATGTCTGATTTTGTAGCTGAACCAAACCAGACAGTTATTGAAGTGCACAGGACAGACTCAATGACGGCTGAGTAGAACTGTTTTAGCAGAAGAGCTTTATTACCAAGTATGTTTACACACACAAGGGATTTGACTTCATGACAGGAGCTTCCAGTGTTGAAGAAAGTACAAACAGTGCAGACACATGACAGTGCCAGACATACATAGGAATAACACAGTAGGGATGTAATATAAAACTAATATAAAAAATAAAAAAAACATAAAAAATTTGTATGCAGATATGTTATTTACAAAGTGTGCAGTTTAATATAAATATGTCAGATAACTATGTTAGTTGTGATGGACGATGTATAATTATGAAAGATTAATTGTTCAGGCTGAATATAGCCTGCAGGAAAAAACTGTTCTTGTGCCTGGCTGTTCTGGTGGTCAGTGCTCTGTAGCGATGTCCGGATGTCCCAGATGCCCTTTTCGCCAGGACACCATGGACCCTGGGTGCACCCGCAGTGAAAGACGCAAAGCCAGGCCCCGGGCGACGACCTCTCTTCCCCCGGTCATCGAGATCTCCACCCGGAACCGCTTCACTCCACTCCATGAGACGGAACGCGACGCTGTGATTGTCGGAGACTCCATCATCCGGCACATCCGTGCTACGTTAGCTAAAGGTAAAGTGCACACCCACAGTTTCCCTGGTGCTCGTGTTCTCGATGTTTCTGCGCAGATACCCGCGATCCTGAAGGGCGACGAGAGCACCGGAGCGGTTGTGCTTTCACGCCGGGGTTAACGACACCAAGCTGTGGCAGACGGAGACACTGAACAGGGACTTCAGGAGCCTGATCGAGACGGTGCGCCGCACATCGCCCGCGACGACGATCATCGTGTCAGGACCGCTTCCCACATATCGATGTGGACACGAAAGGTTCAGTAGACTTTTTGCTTGAATGGATGAATGGTTATTGTCATGGTGTAAAGAACAGAAACTGCTCTTTGTTAATAATTGGAATCTTTTCTGCGAGTGTCCTAGGCTTTTTCACGCTGATGGCCTACCCCAGCAGAGTCGGAGCAGAACTCCTGTCGGACAACATCTCCAGGACGCTGCGCTCCATATGACTAGTAAGTCAAATCTCAAATAACTGCCCTGATGACTTGTGTTCTACCCGCTTAAATGATAGAAGTACTTGTGCTGTCCAATCTATAAAGACTGTGTCTGTTCCCCGAATAGTGAGGTCAAAATATAAATTTAATGCAGGATCTAGAAAAAATCGGATCGTGATTAAACCAGAAAAATGTAAAATAAATAAACAAAAACGATTTTTAAAGTTTGGGCTCCTAAACATTAGATCACTCTCACCCAAAGCAGTTATTGTAAATGAAATAATCACAGATAATCGTTTTGATGTACTCTGCTTGACTGAAACCCGGCTAAAACCTAATGATTATATTGGTCTAAATGAGTCTACTCCACCAAGCTACTGTTATAAGCATGAGCCCCGTCAGACTGGTCGTGGCGGCGGTGTTGCAACAATATATAGTGATATTCTCAATGTTACTCAGAAGACAGGATACAGGTTTAACTCATTCGAAATACTAATGCTTAATGTTACACTATCAGATATGCAAAATAAATCTTATATAGACCACCAGGGCCATATACAGATTTCCTAGTAGTACTTAGGATAGCAAAGTCCACTAAAGGAGGTAGAGCTTTTTCTCATTTGGCTCCCAAACACTGGAATAGACTTCCTGATAACGTTCGGGGTTCAGACACAATCTCTCAGTTTAAATCTAGATTAACAACACATCTCTGAGAAGAGATGATCCCAACCCCTCAGAGGACCTCAGATGATGCCAACCCTGAAACAACATACAGAACTACCACATTTTGCTATAAGTTTGATTGCATCATATAATAATTGCTGTTAATAGTATTCATCGTCTGTTTGATTATGTCTTTAATTGATTTTTCCATACATTTCTGCCATATGTACATTAACTGACAGTCACCACTGATAAGCTACCACTAAATATGGTAGAAACTTAATTTGCTTTAAAGTTGCTTTGCAACGATTTGTATCGTGAAAAGCGCTATACAAATAAACTTGAATTTAATTGAATTGAAGCAGCGACTGCCCTTAACAGTGCTTTTCCCCTCACTGCGCCTGCGTGAAAATATAACTTTAACTATTTAATCTTTAATACAGCAAGAAGGAAAACGAAAAGAGAGAGATCTTTTGATAAAATAATATTATTATCATGGGAAATGTGAACCATTGTCCATCATTTTGCAATTGGCGATAAAGACAAACACGTCGCAAAATTATAAATATTTCAGTTTTAAACCATGAAGGCGAGCCAGTACATGCCACACAAACAATGTGCAAACTGCATGAGTGTTATACCTGTGAAGAAGTTTTAAACTCCAGTCAATTCATTAAGCTACAGAAAGTGAAAGTAAAAACGGACCGAGCTGTCGGCATCTGATGCTTAACGGGACATATTCTCAGAGCAGACGAGAGACATGTTGGGTATTGTCTTAATTTATTTTCTAAAAAAAAAAAATATATATATCTTATGCATGGCTGCTACGTAGTGAAACAACAACAGAATTGAAGTATTTCGTGTTAAACAAGTTTTATATTTTCATTGATGACTGATTATTACAGTGTTCGGACATGTAGGCTACTTTAGATGGAATTTTAATTATAGGCCTATTCATTGTGCAATATGTCTAAATGTTTTAAATCATTTTCAGTGAGGAGTAATCTAATTTAATCATTTATTATCCGCGCGTCAGTTGTGCGGTAATGAGCTATGAAATTATTGCGGGGCAAATTAATTTTAGTAGACCTATAAATTTAATAATAAAAGTACCATAATAATAATAATGGTAATAATTTAATTCATTAAATGACAAATCCTCTCGATATCATCGATAGCTGATGCTTTTTTTTCTCTCTTGATATCTCTGTCATCGTCTGCGCAACTCGAGTATTTCACACGTATACATGACTTGTTTGTGTGACAGTTAAGTTCTTCTCAGAGCTGTGCAGACTATTGATAACTGAGAGGAACTGAAAAGCAGTGGATTCTGGGACTATTGAATATTTGCTAAACTCAGGTTCAGTGGGGCCCCTCTCAGCTATGGGCCCTACTCTCCCTCTTTCCCCCGGTTGTGATGCCGCTGCTCCAGAACTTTCCTCTAGCGTTTAGTTCCCGTATGTTTCCCATTTAGTTATTTTCTGGGAACCAAATAAAAAACGTGTATCTTTCTTTACTGCGCGCCTGATCTGCGCGCGCTTCTCCAGTCCTCCACAGAAAGGCGCGTAATTCAAAAATTAACGGTCGTTTGGTTTTACTGACTAACATTCGTTTATTGCTCTCTTTATTGAATAATTACTTATTATTAATACATATCCGAGAGTAAATATTGTGATTTCGGAGAGATTTGACTCGTCTAATTGAAGAGAACATGATGTTATCCAGAAGTGTTTGTTTCCTGACTAAAGGAGAAGCAAGTCCTCATTCAGTGGTAAGACATTAATCTAATGTTATTCTAGTTACAGTCAAATAAATTGTGTTGAAATCATTGTTATTTGGTGCTTAAGAAACGTAAAATCGGGGTTATTATGGTACAGTGATAAAAGTTACGAAATCTCACATATTAATGGATAAATTAAAAAGGTGGAATAGTGGACAATAGACTGGAGATTTTCAAAATATCAACAAGTAAATACTTTACTTTTTACTTTTAGTCATTTAGCAGACGCTTTTATCCAAAGCGACTTACAAATAAGAAAAAGTGATTAAAACTAAAAGCTAAAACTCTATAAATACTAATATATATATATATATTAGGGCTGCACGATAAATCGCATGCGATATTTAACGCGCAAACCAAAAAACAACTACATATGTGCATGTACAGCCACACACATATACATATACATGTACATATATATAAATACATTAAATATATATAATTTCATTTCCATTTTGTATGTTGAAGTACTGAAATAACTTCAATTAAATAAAACTAAAACTTAATAAAAAAAAAAACTATATATAATAAAAGAACTAATAAAATTACAACATTACTACAACTGTAACTAAAACTAAAATAGATAACTAATACAAATCAAACTACATTAGTTTATCAGTAATCCTAAAAAAATAACACTGAGCCAAACACACATGCTAAAATAACAACAACTTACTGACACATAGTAAGAAATGGTTATAAAAAACTGAAACAGAAGTGAAACAAGTAATAGGAAAGAGGAGAAATAAAAAGCGATACTCATATGATGCGATTTCAATTTTTCCTTTCTCTTTGGAGTGTTACAAGCTCTTGGTGCA